AAGCAAGAAAGTGCTCAAAGGGTGATGGGACATGTCAGAAGAACACAAAAGCTAGCTAAAAGGAGCCACAACCAAGACAATCTGAGCATTAAAGTAAGCAATATAAATAAAGTTAGTGACAGATTAAAACCCTCTGAATAAAACAGGAAACTGTGAGTCCATTAGGATATAATAAATAAATGAATAAAATGAAAGTTTGATGATAAATGGAGTGTTCCTAAAGTCTAAAATAACCTCTCCACCAAAAAATATTAACAACAATGGGAAAAATGGTAATTTAGAGTGGAAATGTCTGAAAGAAGCCCCCTTAATCAAATGATCGAAGTTAACATTATCAGTAATGAGACCAATCAGAATCGCATGCCACTTCATAAGATGCTGTGGCAGCCAGCTCTCACGAAGATGATTCTTAGTTTTCATGCCCTTGGGTAGTCTTTGTCCACACTGAGTGGGGTTGATCTGTGCAACCAATAAGATATTACAGAAATTATGGTATGTGTCTTCTGATGTTAGGTCCTAAAAGACATTGCCTACTCTCACCAGAGCCAGATGCCATATTGTAAGGACACTTAAGCAGGCCTAGAGAGAAAGCCACATAGTGAGGAAATGTAGTTTCTGTCAACAGCCACCACTAACTCACCAGCCATGTGAGTTAGTCACCCTGCAGGCAAGTCCTCCCACCCCAGTCAAGACTTCAGATGATTGCGGCCCTTGCCACCTTCTTGATTGCAACCTTAGTTGTGTCGGTTGTTTGCAACTAAGTTTGGGGACAATTTGCTACACAGCAATAGACACTAATACAGATGCAGTAAGAACACAGCATCACTTCTGTGACAGTCCTGCCAGAGATGCACAGCCTGAGTCTAGTCCCTGATGAAAGAGAAAACAAACACTAATTGAGAGGCATTCTGAAAAATAACCAGCCTGCAATCTTCCAACAGAGTCAAGGTCATAAAAGTTTTTAAAGACAGACTGAGAAACTGTCCTGGAGGGAAGGAGACTAGACACATGACAACTTTATATACAATGCTTGACTCTGAGCTGGATTCTCTTGCTGTAAGAGATGTTACTGGGACAGTTGGCAGTTTGCAGACTGAGGATTAGATGATAGTAATGTGTCGATGTGAATATTTTTATTTTGACAGCTGTATTGTGGTTATGTAGTGGATTGTACTCTAGGAAATACACACTAAAATATTCAGGAGTGGTGAGGCACCAGGTCAGCAATTTATTCTCAGATGGTCAAAGAAATAAAGTTCTTTGTATTGTACTTGCAATATTTCTGTAAGTTTGAGATTGTTTACACATTTTAAAAGGTATGCAGAAAGAAAAAATGTCATAGAATATGACCTTGCCTATAAAAGTAGACCTTATCTTGTCTTTTTTTTGAAGGGGTACATAGTATTCAAATTTTTGTATCAAACTAAATTATTTTACCAATCTTTTATTGATGGGCATTTAAATTGATTCCAGTTCTTTGTTATTATAAACATCCAGTTCTGTTATTATAAAAATGCTAGTAAATATCCTTATAAATATGTTTGTACTCTTGTTCAATTTTTGCACAAGAATAAAACCCTAGAGTCAAATTGCTTTGTGAATGGATATGTACCCTTTAATCAGTTTAATCATAAGTCATTGTAGAAAACCACATAAAATCTCCTTAAAAGAAAATGAAATTTATAATTTGGTAGTTATTTTCATTTGTTTTTTCCCCATGGGAAGTAATCTCTTTAAGACTGGGAACTTTATCTGTCTTAATTATCACCATCCCCAGCATTAAGATAGTCCGATGCACTCAATAAATATTTGTTGCAACAACAGTAATAGCAAACATTTATTTTGTGTCCGGCATGGTTCTAAGGATATGAATTCATTTATTCCTTGTAGCAACCCTATGAGATAGGTAGTAGGATTATTTCCATTTTACAGATGTGGAAACTGAGTCAAAGAGAGGCTGGACACTTAATCCAGTTTCACAAGTCTAGTATCTAGCTGGTGGAGCCAGGAGTCCGGGTAGTTTCCCTTCAGTTTACAAGCTCTTTGCCACTATGCTATATATTGTTCTCTGTTGTTCAAAAATGAATCAATGAATGAATGATCAATATATTTATTTGATTCTTTGACCCATTACAAATTTCCACTCTTTTTTTTTTCTTTTTTCAAATGAAAATTGAAAGGAATAGACTGTTCATTTTGTAAAAGCCAACTTAGTTTAATGGTCCTCTGTACCAGGTTGTGCTTCCCTACATAATTCCTTGATTCCTGGAATTAATATCCATACAGGTGTACACTATAAATTATTCTTATTAAGAGTTTAGGAACGTGTAAACAGAATATTTGCTTTGTATTACAAATAAAATAGTAAATCTGGATCTGCAGCTGCAGTCTAGGAGGCAGAACCTATATAGTCCATGATTTTTTCAAACACGCCCTCTGCTCCACACCTGGGCTCCTGTGCCCCCATCCTTCCCTGCACCTGGAGTGCCCCTGTCCATCTCCAGCAGTGCAAACCCAACCAACCACCCTCCAAGCTGCTCTGAGTAGCACCTCTTCCACTGAAGTCTGCTTTACCTTTCTGTTCTTTCTTACCCTCCTCTTGAAGGTTGAAACAATCTTTCCTTCCTCAAAATTCCAGTCCTTTTCATAGTACTCTTATAGGAATACTGCATTGTAAACATACCTTATGTTAATTGTGTGAAGTCCTCATCTCCCTTAATATGCTATATCCTCTTTTAGTTTTATTTATTTTGTAAAACCCCAAAATATATTAGAATATTTTGTACAGAATATGAAATTAAGTATGTGTTTTGAATGAGGAAATAAGTTATCCCAGGAAATATATTGATATTTAAAATTTTATAATCCTAAATCAAAAGACTACTAAAATTTTTTTGAAATATTATGTATTCCAAAATCATCAGGAATTGTAAATAACAAATGAAATGGTTAGACATGATTTTTTTTTCACTTGATGACATGTATTTTTGTCTCTAGTTTACAAGGCATCAAAAACCAAGAAGCATAATTCCCTTTCATCCTATAAAACCTTTTGTTTTGTTTATGGCTGCAAGTATCAACTTTGTTTCCACCCACAACTTAAGTTCCCTTTTCTTGTAGTGGGTGGTTTAGGAACATCAAAGCTAATAAAATCAATCAAAGCTATAAGTGGAATTTATTTTTCAAGGGCCAGTACTTCAGGATTTAAAGAATTTTAATATTATATTTGTTTTCAAGTGTTTGTATAATAGCAAATCTCCCTACCAACTGGAAGGACTGTCCTTGAATCCTGTTCTGCATGAAATAACAAAATATAATCCCTTCTCCCCATATATTAAAAAAAATAAAATAAAATAAAAAGAACTTCAGGGATGTTAAGTATTGTCAATAGACAGCATTATACTTTGTTGCTGACAAAGGCAATAGCATAGCCTTGGGGCCAATTGTTTCTAGTCCCCCATAAGGAGGTCTTTCCTTCACCCAGGGACTGGGACAAAGGTTGAAGGGTTTTTTGTTGCTGAAAGCTCAAACAGCAAGCCAAAGAGAAAGTTCAAACAAGATGTATCATCAGTCTTTTAAAAATGTCATTGCTTATGTAAATTAGCTGTGGTCTTTGGGTGCTGGTGAGTCCCCAGCATCCCTGGATTGGTTGAATGTTCTATCATGTTTTATTTATATTTGATGGGCTTCAAGAAAGGTTTGACCATGAAGTATTCACATTTAATTTTAGTTCATGGCTCTTTTGTTTGTTTTAGTTTGGTTTTGTTTGTTTTTAGATTAGCTTCATTATCTTGTGCTTTCCAGAGGATAATTTAGAGGCTAACGTATTATTGTGGAGCACTTCTATATGATCTTACTGATTTTTGTTTTTTACTGTTGTTTATCTGGCCATTGGATTTGAAGTTCCCAAGCTATATTTATAATTAGTGATTAAAATCAAACTTTAAGGAATCTTTTTCTTTGGAGGTATTTTTTTTAATGGTGAATGATACATTTTAAAATAATGCCTTATGACTAAAATTTACAAACTTTACACATAGCCTTAAATATTTTCAGATAACAGTAAAGTCAAAACACACATTTTAAAATTTAGCCTAGTCTAATCCTATTCATAAAATGTTGAGATGTTGCATTAGTTCTGCACGCCTCTCATTTATAATAATGTTACTGTCTTGATCATACCCTTTATAGATATATTCGTTTGGGGGTCAGCTGAAATTCTCCCTGCTGTTTCTAAATGTATTGCACTGTAAATATCCAAACTTTATAAAGGAAAGGATGAATATGTTTTGGGAGGCATGCCTTCCTTATACGTTAATAATTATTACTTTATATATTAGGTGCAGAATTTTTACATAGACATTTACATTTCATCTATCACGTTAACTGTAGATTTTTATTTTTTTTGGTTTGTGTTAAAATAATCCTGAGAACTTTAGGGATTGCTGGTGATCATTCTTGGTAAGGGGGTATCTTTCTCCTTAGATCTGTAGCTCTGTGGTGCATATACATGATAAACATGCCTTTGTTCTCAAAGTCTTTTTCTATCTGATTACTGTTGTATTCAAGTGCTTTGTCTCTGCCTCTCTTAGATTCCCCCCCCCCTTTTCTTGTGTCCTTAGCCTGTCGTTTGTGTGAATAAGTTTGTTTACATTCAGCAGATGTATTAGTGCATTTTGATGATAGAAGGAAGTCATATAGTAAGGGGAAGAAATCAAGAGAGTGAGGTGGATGAGAGGGAAAAAGGGGGAAGAAGTAGGAAAAGAAAAGGAGAGAGTGGGTGTGAGGAAGAAAAGAGCAAAAGGCAGAACAGGGGCTACGGGGCCTTGTGAAACCTTGGGGGCTGGTCATGGGGGAGGGAGGTCAACGGACCAGCATTTTCCCCAGGCTTGGGCTGAAGCTTGTGAAACTACGAACGTATTAGAGAACCTCAGCTGGGATTTGCTGAGGACAAATGCTGTAATGTGTTAGTCATCCATTATCTGCTTCTATTTTTGCAGGTTCTGAATGATGACTGACGCGGGTTTGTGTGATATCCCTCCCCGTCCCTGTCATTCCCGAATGATAAGGACCCCGCACGTCTAGCCTCAGCACCAGGGCAAAAAGCAGCTCTGGAAAGAGGAAGGCTTCCGCTTGCGGACCGGACCAGAGTACCGCCTTCTCACGGGTCTCTGCCTGAGGCTGGTGATCCAGACCGGGTGCCTCATCCAGCTCGCCGCTCTTGCAGGCAGATGGTGTGTGGCCGCCGCAGGACGCCCTGGGCGCCCGGGCCATGAAGTAGCGGCTGCTGGCGGCGCTGCTGCCCGACCGCCGGCCCCAGCCCAGCGCGGCGCTGCCGGGTCCTCTCCCCGCGGGGCCGGAGCGGCGTGGACATGGCTGGCGTTCGCAGCCTGCTAGTGCTCCTCCTTGTTTTTGAAAGCAGCTGTTTGGGTTTCAGAAGCCCACTTTCTGTCTTTAAGAGGTGGGTGTTGTGTGTTTCTATTTTTTTTTTTTTAACAGGCGAAATGTCGTTTGGGTGGTTTTCTGTGCATGCTGTTGAAAAATGTAATCACTTTTACGAACCAGAGTGTCGGAGACATCTACAAGATTGATTTACTTGGCTGAAACGACTTGGAATTTTAGCACAGTAACTTCTTGTAAAGTCCCTCTTTACAGAAAAAGCCCACTGTATTGTCGCCAAGCCGCACTGGCTTTCAGAACTCCAATTAGAAGTTGTGATTTCCCATACAAATCGCTCCCTCTTGGGGAGATATTTCAGAAACTACAATATCGTCGTTTAGACTTGAATGCCTTCTTGTTTATAATAGCTTGAAGAATAAAATATCAGGTAAGTGGTGGGGAAAAGCAGAGCTGTAATAGCTCACGGGAAAACACTGAGCTGTACACACACTCCTCATAATTACCATGTTAAATATTTATGCACTTGTACATTGGAAATTCACATCGCAGCCCCCCCCCACACACACACACACACACAACTCTGCCTCCAAGCATTATTATTGTTGGTTTTTGTTTCTTACTGGTAATACTGGGCACTCATAAAATAGTTATAAAAATTTTACTAGGTTATGGTTAACATTTCTTCCATTAGAAAATTGGCAGGCCTGTGATAAGTCTGATTTATTAATACTGTCTTTTCATGAACTGGAAACAGATAAATATTTTGACAAGTTTTTATTGAATCGAGTTTTAAACGTAACCTGCTTGATTGCTCTGATTATATTTTGTTTAAATTGGGTGGGCCTGTATTGCTCATGGACTATAAAATGCAATCCTGAGAATGTTTTAGAGCATTATATAAGTTATTACATGTTTTCATTGGGTCTAAATCAATAATCTTTAATCTTACAGTTATACAGTTCCTTTTTTTTCCTTTTCATGACAAGTAAGGATTCCATTATGTTCAAGGATATTGAAATTGTCTTCTTTTTTAAGGTTTAAAGAAACTACCAGATCATTTTCC